TTTTTGAAACCCACCACTGGTATGCATATACATATAGTAAAGGTAAAGATTCCCCTCACACATATGTGCTAGTTGTTCCCGACTCTAGGGGGCGGTGCTCATCTTCGTTTCACAGCCAAAGAACCAACGATGTCCAAAGACGTCTCTGTGGTCATGTGGCCAGCATGACTAAATGCCGAAGGCGCACAGAATGCTGTTATCTTCCCACCAAAGGTGGTTCCTATTTTTCTACTTGCATAGTTTATGTGCTTTCGAACTGCTAGGTTGGCAGAAGCTGGGACAAATAATGGGAGCTCACTCAGTTATGCGGCGCTATGGATTCAAACTGCTGAACTGCCAACCTTTCTGATTGACAAGCTCAGTGTCTTAGCCACTGAGTCACCGCGCTCTACATATACATATGTGTGTGTGTGTGTGTGTGTGTGTGTGTGTATGTATACAGGGGGGAGGATCATACACGTACGATCATGTATACATATATGCATATATTCCAATGGATCAAAAGTTTGGACTTTATCTGAGGCTTAAATTTCAGGTACTGGTTTTCTATTTAGAACAAAATAACAATTAAACACATTACCTGTCTGTTGATGTTTGGGATATTGAAAACAACAAATAAGTTCCTAGATTATTGCCAAAGTGGTAGGCTTCAGAGACAAATTTTAACTCAGCATGCAAAGGACAGCCATTCTTGTTCTGCTGTCTATTTGAATCTGTCAGATGGGCAATATTTTTCCTCTTCTGAAAATGAAAATAAAATATATATCTATATTTAGAATTGATGATTCCAGAAATATGAGATAGTGTTTATTAAGAGGAAAATCATTCAGGGTTATGTTTTTCTTACATTAATCATGAATCTATTTCTCCTTTAGACAGGATGTACAACAAATATTATTATTATTTGGATTATTAAAAATTTCACTTCTTAGTTCCTATCACATATCTTTTTAGAGATATCCTTCAAAATCAATTCATCAGTGCCAGAAATTTGATCCTATTATATTCTAAATTTTCAATTTGAAATTTTTATCTCATTTTATGTCTCATCCAGCTTCTGTTCTGTTCTTTAAAATGCAATATATATATATATTGTAAGACAGCAGTCTATGGGTTTATGAAAATTACTTAGTTTTTAGTTTAAAAAAGAGAGGTCTATGAAGATCATAAACCATTTGCTTCTAATTAAATACTATGAACATGTATTCATATATCTTTCATATGTGGTTATCCTCCACTATCTCCCAGAGTTTGCCCAAATTAATGATCATTGCATCGAAGACACTATCTAACCATCTCATCATCTCCCATCCCATTCTCCTTTTGCCTTCAATCTTTCCCAACATCGGGGTATTTTCCAATGAGTCGTCTCTTTTTGTTAGATGGCCCCCAAAAATGAGCTTCAGTTTCAATTCTAACTTATGACCAGGCTGCCATTTTTTCTTTTATTAATCAATCTGAATTTTCCTCATAAAAAGGGAACATTTCATAGCAGATTTATTTATGATAGCCATCATCTTCACCTCTGAAAGAAAAAGCTGTTACTCTGTGATACAAGTGGTGGAGAACGTTTCCCATCTCATCTAAAACCAGTGCATAGACATGGAATACCTATTATATTGAATTATCTCTACTTACTCTCCCATGAACAGATGCTGCCTTAATGTTGATAATTTGCTATTCATTATGGGACAATGCTGCAGAGACATTCTGAATATATGTGCCCTAATTGTATCCCTATCAATTACAGTTGATATTTAGGCTTATAAACTTTCAGTATCAAGTGAAAATTTATTCCCTCCAAATTTTGATTGAATGTTACTGCTTTTGTTGTATTTTTTTGTTACTTATAATTTTACATGGCCTTTTGTTTATTTTCTTTATTATTTTTCATGATAAAAATAGGTAGCAAATTTTATGTGCAGTTGTACATTGTAACAGAACTCACAAAATTAAATAATTTTCTTTAACAAAATTTCATTTCCAACCTTTGAAAACTTTCGATGGTGTGTATCTGGTAATTCTTTCAACAGCATTGGCTTTTGTCGTTCTGGAATCATACAGAATCCTAGAGACACATCTCTTCTAACAGAATCAGTTAAATTTTGAACCTGAGCAGGTAGCTGTGAACTAGTATGGAGACAAAACAATAATGATACTGATTATTACTTTCATAGATTAGTTAAGAAAAAGAACTTGCTGAAAGCAAAGCATGATATGGATAAAGAAGGATCATAGCAATAACAAAAAAGCTAATTTCAATATATTCAGAATAAAAGGAAAAGAATAAATGAACTAGTTGTTCATCTGAATAATACATTAGCTGCAGATTTGGAAAGGAAAAGACTAAAGCTTGACTTTGAGAGATGCATGGACAAGAGGTGCCTACTTTGAATTTAAATCTCCAGGACCAGATAGGACAAAGTATTTTACTAAAATTAATTACATATTTTTTAAAAAGAAGAAAAAAAACCTATCTGGTCCTGGAGATTTAAATTAAAAGTAAACAGGAACAGACAAAACACTAAGATATACTAAAATGTAGATGAGGTGATACAGTTCTAATCACATATACACTATATTATATACTTTTTCCTGGATCACCTATCATGGCAACAGGAAAACACTAAGGAAAACAGAAGCAATACAATTGATAAAAAATAAGGATGACTAGCACTTTGCATAATATAGCCTTATCTTCTTCTAATATGGCATGCTGTTTTAAATCTGGTCATTAAAAACATCATAAAAATCTATATTCCACTAAAACTCTTGTGATTGTAACTGTAACCTTTAAATGACTGAAACGGTGCATCCTAGGGCAAACCTTTCCAACCAAGGTACTCAAAAGCATTAAGTTACAGAATGCAGGGACCCATTCAGAGGTGGTATTCAGCAGGTTCTGATCAGTTCTGGAGAACTGGTAGCGGAAATTTTGGGTAGTTCAGAGAACCTGTAAATACCACCTCTGACTGGCCCTGCCCCCATCTATTCTCTGCCTTCCAAGTCACAGCTGATTAGGAGGAAATGGGGATTTTGCAGTAACCTTCCCCTGGAGTGGGATGGGAATGGAAGTTTTACAGTATCCTTCCCCTGCCACGCCCACTAAGCCATGCCCACAGAACCGGTAGTACAATTTTTAAATCCCACCACTGGACCCATTACTCCCATAGAAGTGAAATTTTGGAATTCTTGCTCTTTCAGTGCTACTGCACTGCTGCTGTACAGCATCACTGCCATAGTCATGTGATCTTCATTTACAACATTCACTAACATCTTCCCACAAGTCAATAGGGAAGCAGAACAGAATAACAGAGTTGTTCTGGCAAGCTTGCAGGGAGAAAGGGATCATGTGACTGTGGCTAATGGAGGCCACAGTCACATGATCTAATGGAGCATGTCAGTGGGTTTGGAGTTGCAACTTCTATCCTGGGAACCTTGCATGGAGAAAGTCAATGGGAAACTTTGCAGGGAAGGTCACAAGTTGCTCCCATACCCGTACAATCTCTATCGGTCCCTCTGCAATTGCAAATACTGTGTTTCCCAAAAGGTCTTATTTTCTTTTGATCCCTGAAATAAGCACTTGGCCTTATTTTCAGGGAGGTCTTATTACTTTTGAGGTGCAGGAGGTGGTGGATGTGATCACCTCATGGCTGCTGCTGTTTTGCAATATTTTCAGGGAGGGCTTATTGTCAGGGAGGGCTTATTTTCAGGAGAGGGCTTATTTTAGCATATGCGCTCAAAAGCCTGACTGGGCTTATTATCCAGGGGATAATTATTTTGGGGAAAACAGGGTATATCTGAAAGGATGATCCAATGGATCATAGGTTGTTTAATATTTTTCAAAATCATGTTGAAAATTTTGTGGTTTTTTTTCTATTAAATAGATTACCATATAAACTATGATTATATAATATATTTACCGTTCTATAAAGACATTGGACATACACCCTTCAAAGTCGTCCCCACCCAGTTTTATTGGTTGATTCATTGATTTCCTTTCAGGAGTTACAACTGTTTCTGACTTAGGTATATCGTCAACTAATAACTTCAGCCTAGAAGGACAAAAGTGTATAGAAGAGTGAAATTATCATGGCAAAACTATTATACCTAAATAATACTTAATTATTTAATTAGATCATCCCCTTCTAGGAACTGTTACCAAAGTTCTCATTATATACCATATCACTATGTAATTTGGCTTAGAAGCTAAGTGCCACCCCCCCCAACACAATAATTTTGTATTTTGTTATTGACAATTCAAAAATACCTGTTAAAAACAAATCATTCTCAGAATCCAAATCCATTGACGTATTACTTCTAATGCAGTTTAAGCATTCACAACTAAGCATCAAATTAAACAATAAAATTATATTTTGACCAAAAAATTACTCAATATAATAATCATCAAACATACATATCATCTTCTTTTATCACTGTTATGTAATGCATTGAACCAATTTCACATTTTTTGCTAGATTCGATTACTTCATCAGCCAGGCTTACAATTACATAGCCATTTCTTAGGAGAATGGTAAAATCGGCAAGCTAAAAGGAGGAAAAAGAAACAGTCATTAAAAAAAATATTGAGATTTTGGATTTTGTAGGAAACCAATTTGATTGTATTTTAAAAGATAGTAAAAGATAATTCATCTTTCTTACCCGTGTATTATAACTTAGTAGCATTCCGTTAACTGCCAATGTGTGAAAACCAAATCCAACTTGGAAATTATCAGGGAATGGAAAATCTTTATCACTTAAGTCAAGAACTCCATTCTTGAAAAAGTTTGCGGTTCTCACCAGCTAAAAAATACAAGTAAATGATAAATACTTCTTTTTAAAAACAAAGTGAGAAATCTTTATTTTGCTTGCTTCTCTGTTATTTATAACAATATAAACAGTTCTCTCATATGGTGAGATTTATACATTTCTGGACCACATAGGGCCATAAATCCCATCGCAAGTCTTCTTTTAGAAATATTTAGTGATATTATGATTAAATAATTAAAAGGAATTATGATTAAAGAATTGTGAATATTATGCCAAGTAATAAAAGAAGTGGTGATTATTTACCTTCCAGTCATCCGGGCATTTTCTGCTGACACCAAAACTTTCAGAGAAGGTTATGGAACGTTCAAATGAGGTTTTAATATTCATCATGCACCCACGAAATGGTGGTGTGGATATATTAAACCTGCTTTCAAAAATAAGTAAATAAGAACAACCAGCAAACCACAGCTTTAAAGTTGATATTATGCTAATCTCTTGTCTTTTGGGATAGATAAGCTACCCTCCACTATCAGAATGAATTCCATAAACTATATTTGCAGTTTTAATCGCCTCTTTGGTCTTGGCACCATATTGGGAAGCAGGAGACCATGAGTTCTAGTCCTGCCTTAGGCATGAAAGCCGACTGGGTGATTTTGGACCAATCACTATCTCTCAGTCCATTTCACAGGGTTGTTGATATTGTGGGGGAAATAGGAAAAGGAAGAAGTTAACCGCCTTAAGATATTTATAAAAATAATAAAGGTGGGGTAAAAAAAATCTAATAAATACTGTAAATAAACTTTTCAATGATATTGTTTGAATTTTAAGTGTCTGTGGTGACTGGACTGTTGAGAATTCACCATACAAGAGAAAACAAACAATTCTTACTCATCTCTAAATTATGTCTGTGTGTTTCTCTTCAAAATACATGTTTATTCAAAGAATACGGTATTTTTAAAATTATACATAGAAAATAAAGAATTTTCTTCTTATCATTATTTATAATTACATATGTTTATACCAAGTGCATTTTGTACCAGAAAAAAAGTATATTATGGGAAATTCTGGAATTAACATATATAATCTAAAACTGCGATCATCCCCCTGAAAAGTGCTTACTTCTTTTGGGAATTTTTTTTATTGTGTGTTGCCCCCAGATCATTTGAATGGCAACCTCTATTTCCCGAAAGAAAAAGCTTTAGTTAAAAGTTCTTCATTCCAGCTTAGAAGAAGGAAAGAGTTATTTAGTCATCCAGCTGGAAGTTCTATTCTTTCTGTTACCTTACATTAAGTATGAAGAACTTGTAACCTATCAAGCCAAATGCACTTCAGTCACTATATACTGTAAAGTTGCTTCTAGATGATTGATAATATCATCATATATTGATACTTGGGTTTGGGATTGATACCATACCAGGTATCAATCCCAAACCCAAGAAAGGGAACAGTCTCCAGCTAAACCGCAATCCAGGGGCAAGAATGTATTCAGCACAGCCAAGGCCTTAATATGCATCCTTACTACTCAGCACCAGTCCTTATCTCCCAGATCGTTGTCACTCACCGTTCTCTTAGATAGGTTGGAATTCCTCCCAAGTAATATGAATCAAAATTAAATGTAGTCACGTTGGCAAATAATCTAAGTGTGTCAACCCCAAAAATAAATCTTTGGGGGGAAATGTGTAAAATAACCTGAAACAAATAAAGCAATCAGATTTAAAGCCTTTTGTGTTATTTTATTATGATTTCAACATTTACATTTACGGGTAAAGGTAAAGGTTCCCCTCGCACATATGTGCTAGTCATTCCCAACTCTAGGGGATGATACCCATTTCCATTTCGAAGAGCCAACACTGTCCGAAGACGTCTCTGTGGTCATGTGGCCGGCATGACTAAACGCTGAAGGCACACAGAAAGCTGTTATCTTCCCACCAAAGTGGTTCTTATTTTTCTACTTGCATTTTTTCATGCTTTTGAACTGCTAGGTTGGCAGAAGCTGGAACAAGTAATGGGAGCTCACTCCATTATGCAGCACTAGGGTTTGAACCGCTGCACTGCCGACCTTTCTGATCGACAAGTTCAGCATCTTAGCCACTGAGCTACCGCATCCCTATACATTTACAGGTATTATCTTTATTATTACTAATATTGTGCCTTTTTATATTTTTGAATTAGTTTTTAATAATTAATTCAAACAATGAACTATGAATATTATAGATAAGAAAGAAAAATTAAGACCATACCAAAGTACAGTTAGTCAACAGGAAACATAAAATCAACAAGAGGGAAGAGGAAACCCGAAGTGCTCTTTTAAAATAGAGGGTTTTTAAAAGGCCATAGCACAAACTTTGCAAAAAAGATATATTAGCTTCCAGTTCTTGTCTAAAAGGTAGAAAATGTTGATATGGCCAACAAGCACAAAGCAGTTTCATTCCCCATTACTTTCAAATAATGATTTAAAATCATTTCCCTTGACTGACAGATGAGCCTCTGCATTATGCCATTTTTTTTGCTATTACTTTTATTTTGATACTTTCAAGTCCTAATAAGTATTTTAAATTGTTTAAATCTCTAAGATCATATAACTGAATGTGGGAAAGATATAAGATAGTGCAGAGTCTTGGTTAATATAGTAATAAAAGAATAAATTGACTTTTGCTAAATAATGGCCACAAAATGGAATTTGAAAAGAGACTTACTAATTTCCAGATTATCTCATAAATGCTGCCCCACCCAAGTTCTAAAATGATTCCTGACAAGTATTCCTAGGCTTGGATTCTGAGACTGTTCTTCAAACTTGCCTTTCCATTCTGTGCAGATGGAACTATGGAGAAATAATTCTCAGCTACTACTGAGTAGTTGAGAAGTCTCCTCCTACTAAGAGGAAGGACTCAGCACTGTATCCTTTGACTGGAAGTTCCAGTCCACAATCATCACAGAGAGATCCATGTTCTGACCTAGGCTTCCCAGGAGCATGAAGCAAACTCCTGGTTCCGACAAAAACCCCTTTTATTAATTTACTGTGAATTCTGCTGATTCCCATACAGCAAAGTCTTTCCAGGGAGGATTTACAGTCACAGACCTCATCTGGCATAGAGAGCTACCAAGCTGATATCTGGAAAACTTGGCAAGGAGTCTCGAAGATTCAAAGGCCAATTAAACGAACTAATTGTCTCCTGCAATTCCACTCCCCTTTCACTCCTCTTTTATTTCCTCTGGGAGGGGCCATTCATCATCCACCTGTGGCCTTACTCCCAAGTCGACTCCTGTTCTTTAGCTATTCCCTTTGTCTGGCGACTCTGTGCATGCGCACACTGGGAACAGGCTCCAACTGTTTGTCTGCTTCACTAATATCTGACTCTGAAGGAAGCTGATAACGGGCATACGGCTCTGTCTCCCTCTCTTCCTCCAACACCGAGCCCTCACCAGAGCCTTTCCCAGACTCCAGGACTGGCCCATGTTTTTCCCAATCTTCTCACTGTCCGAATCTGCTGCCAGCTCCACTGGCTGCTGGCGTGCCACAACAACCCAGGCATTAGGTTTGAATATTATAGGCAGAGGGTACATAAGCAGTAATATTTGCTGGCAGCAACTTAAATATGATGTCTTTGCTCTCAGATCTGCATGAAAACATTTTGCTACCTGAGGCAAACAATAAGACAGGACACCTCACCTTTTTTATATTAAAAAAGGGCATCTTGGTCAAGATCGGCTTAGAACCTTCTGATATTAAGATTCTGATAATATGGAGGCTCCCAAACATGTTAATCCAACTTCTTCATGGGAACCTTTTGTCAGGAGGGGGGGAGGGGGGCAAAGCCAAAGTATGACAAATTTGGTGGTGGGACTGACACACACAGTCCTAATCTCCTACATAATGTTCCCTTATGCTGGCATATACATTTGGGAGCAATACATGTTTGTTTTAAGAGTAAACTTTAAAAATTTCCATACGTGTAGCTAAGATGAATGAAAAAGCTAGTATATTACAAAGGGGTACGTGTGAGGATTTTCATAATAATAACAACAACTCAGATTGTTTTGTGCCGAGAAACTTACCAGTTTTTCTGGTACATTGCTCATGATTCCATTTGATATTTCAATTGGAGGTTGTGAATCAACTTTGTGTGTGAATATTGGGTGGCCATTTTCAATTCGCAAACTAATAAACTTGTCCTATAATGGTTTATGCAAAATAACACATAAATAGGCATTAATTGAAAGGCATATTTTCTTTTATTCTAAATAACATCTAATGTTTATATATTTTCCTAATAGCCTGATTGTTTCAGCTTTCATATTTTAAAGGAAAAAATACATTGTTCCTTCTTAGGAAGAGAAAGAGTGCTATCCTTTCACACAGATTTGCTGAATTCCAATTCCAATTGTGCAACAACTGGAGAGTATTGGTGGGAATGATTGATTTCAACCAATAAAGACCAACATTTCCATATCCAACATGTTGAATTTGTAGTTGGATTCCACAAATCCAACTACAAATCAGTGGTGGGTTTCAAAAAAATTTGGAATCTCTTCTGTAGGTGTGGCCTGCTTTCCGGGTCCACTGGTGGAACCTCTTCTAACTGGTTTGGTAGATTTACCGAATAGGTGCGAACTGGTAGGAACCCACCTCTGCTACAAATCCAACTACAAATCCAACATCCTAATATTTTTCATTTTTATTCTAGGAGAAAGCCATAATAAAGAAGTAATGCATCTTTCTGCTTTGTAATTTGGACTATTTGTTTCTAATACCAGACAACTAGAAGATCTGAAACCTGAACTAGGAATTTTATATATGCTCATGAACACAGACAACAGGCCGAGATTAGCAAAATATATAAACTAAAAGGGCAGAGATTCTAATAGTTGACATTGCCTTTTGCTTACTGCCATTCAAGCCCAACCACCCTTCCTATATCTTTCCTTTTCAAGTGTGGCAGTAGCTCATAAAGCATCAGGGATTGGATTTGAGTGCTCAGTCTGATCTTTACATCTACATTCAGACAGTACAATGAACAATTTTCCATTTACTTAGCAAAAAACCCAAAAACAAATGACTTAGCATAAAGTTGCGAGCAGGGGTGGGCTGCTACGGGTTCACCCAGGTTTGGGAGAACCTCCAAATCTAACCCCTGGGTGGCCCTGCCCATCCAGCTCTGTCCCTCCCCTCCCAGTAGTCTCCATGCAGCCCGTTTTGGAGGCAAGGTAAGTGCAGGGCCCACATGAGGCTCGAGGTGGGGTGAAAACAGCCCTCCTGGAAGTTCCCAAAGGCTGGAAATAGGCCCATTTCTGGGGGAAGCAGTTTTCACCCTCCCAGAGGCTTGAGGAAAGCCTCCGGAGCCTGGGGAAGGCAAAAATGCTCCCCCCCGTGGTTCAGGAGGCCAACTAGGCCACGTCCACCATGGCCACACCCACCCAGCAACTGGGCAGAGCCTGTTGCTGAAATTTTTGAAGCCCACCCCTGGTTGTGAGAAAGTTAAGGTTATGTTCCAAAAAATTCATTGCAGTTGGCTTCATAAGATCTCAGGACGTATTACTAAGATGATCTGCTTGACACAACGTTAAGATCTGAAAACTGAGATTCGGAAAATACTATGAAATTTAAGTTACATGCACGTAGCCTAAAGGAAAACATAAATTTTACAGCTCCACAGTTTATGGCTGTATAACTCTCCATGCCATATTTGAATATCCCTAGGTTAGCGAGAAAAACAATGAAGACTGTTTGCACTATTGTAAGTTTTATGGCAATTTATACTTCTACAAAGTAAAATATATATTACTAAGTATATCCCTGAATGGATTAATTAAATTTAATTCAGTTAACAAACATGATGCAGCCTACAGCTGAGAAAGTAAATTCGCAACATTTCAATATATGTACATCTATATTTAAAATATTTTACAAATTATCCCCTTTCTTTTGGGATTATGTTAGTTAATAGAACTCTTTATGAGATGCATTTACTATTGTTTAAATCAAATGTTACTGAAGAGAACCTGGAGATGGGTGCAAAATGCAAAGCGACATCTCCATTTTCCCACTCGGATGGCCCCAATTCAGAAGATAACATCACACCCACCAACAAACTCCACATAAGGGAAGGAATGAGGAATCTGGATAAGTGGGGACCACTCATTTGCTAGACATTTTCTATAAGTTTTGATTAAAAATATTTAAGCAGCTATTCTTGTTTATTTAAGTCATAAACTATGAATAAAATAATTGGGTATTTTAAAGCTTCTTCCAGAGGCATTTGGGACAACATCATCAAGAGAAAAGAGAAAAAGAGAAAGACAACATCAAGAGAAAAGTTTTAAATGGATTAAGAATAATCTTCTTTCTATGGATGAAATTTAGGCTCTGGATTGAAGAGTATAATGTACATACATACATACACACAAACACACAAACATACTATACAAATTTATATACATACAGTACCTTCTGTACATAAATACATACGTATATAATAGATCTCTGAGATGCACTTCCACCAATTCGTTTTGCTTATATGACAAAACTATTAATACTGTTGGAATCCGAAACAATCAGTTATTTGAATCTTTATGTACCTTCTGTACATAAATACATACGTATATAATAGATCTCTGAGATGCACTTCCACCAATTCTGTTTGCTTATATGACAAAACTATTAATACTGTTGGAATCTGAAACAATCAGTTATTTGAATCTGTATTTCAAATTATTTTCAATGATAGGTTAATGGATAGAAATTTGGGGATAGTATCAACCTATTTACATTGTTTCAGAACAATTTATCTGTATGGATCTTCCTTTCCTTGTGCCTAATTTCCTTCCTTCCTCTTCTCCCCCATTTTACAGTTTGCCTGAAAACATTTACATGAATTTTAGTTACCTGGTTTTCTGCAAAGAACACCAACCCGACATCTGAAGTAGTTTGAATGGTTTGTTCATATTTTATGATTCCTCTGCCTGGAGAAGCTTTGATATGTGCATAACCGATGCCTTCAAAGTAAAATTCAGCAGATTGTTCTCTGTATCTGAAATAAAGAAATATGCAGATGAAAATGCTACCATCCTACCAAGCATATTTGATATACCAAGAAATGTTTTAAACAAAGAAAATAGTCAAGCTAAGTGAAAATTGTGTGTTTCCGAAGAGAAGGCGTGGGAGGAGTAACAGATGGGTATTAACCCAGCCCTCTTNGAGTAGAAGGTATATTGCTTTCCCTCTGGACATCTTTCTCACCATACATCATAGATATTAAGTTGTTCAGCCATTTGGAAGAATGACATTGGCAAATTTCTCCTAGCTCCTTTTCTCTTTTTTCCACTTTTATAGTCCCATTTCTGGTCAACTATAGCATTGAAATCACCCATTAAACAGATATTTTCATTTCCCACATGCTGTGGCTAAAGAGAGCCTCTTTTAGCTTAATGAAGATGAATAGTCCTTAAAATGATTAAGAAATGAAGGGCACAACTTACTGTCCATTTGAAAAATAAATTCCAAAACAGCGCCTTCTGATTGCAGCCCCGCCCCAGCTTTCAGCACACAAGCTGCTTGGAAGCACAGCTCCTGAAGCTACTTCCAGACCTTTGCTGTATTGGAGGATCTTGAGGGATAATTCTAGGACTTTCCCTAACCCAGGACAGTCATATAAACTAAAGCAGGGGTCCTCGAACTACAGCCCCTGGGCCAGATACGGCCCATAGAAGCAGTTTATCCAACCCAAGCTCTTCTAACCGTCCCCTGCCCACAGCAAACTCAGCGCAGGCAAAACCCCAGGGCAGCTGTGACAAGGCACCCGGAGGGAGGGGCTGGAGTTCCTAAACAAGCAACCAAGCTAAGTGTCTGAAGGACCCCATCCCTTCACCAGGAGTCCAGACGCCTCAGCAGGCAGCGGGCGAGGCCTCATCTGCACTCCTTGGCAGAAAACGGGCTTCATAGGGATCTGATCTAGCTCCTGGGGCCGGCTCTGCCCTAAGGAGCCCAGGGGTGTCGTTGGGGCTCCTGCGAAGAGGGGCTCATGCCCAGTCCACACACGGCACCATGATAGACTAGCTGCTGTTGGCACTGCGCGGTACCTGGCCAGCCTCTTCATGGACCGCCGTGGCTTGCAGGTGAGCGCAGCAGCGGCACTCCCTCCGCGGGCCCATCGCTCTTCATCTGCCTCCCCCACAAATGTCCCTGGAGCCACTGTTCCTGCACCTGAGTGAGACCACTCTCCTGGCCCACATCTGTTGCCTGGGCGCGCTCTATGTCCGCCTGCCTTAGTTCATCGAGCAGTTTGCTGAGCACGGCCAGCCGCCGCTGCCCACCACCCCACTGCAGGTGCTACTTTCCCAGCCTGCATAGTGGACTGTGGCACTGGGTGAGCCGGTGATGAATGAGTGGCTGGGCGCATGGATGGACTTCCAGTGGTGGAGAGGGTGGGGAAGGGAAGAGGCTGGGCTGCCATTGCCTTTCACTGGGGTGTGTGGAGAGAGACGGGGCTCCTCTTGTCATCTCTTCTCTCCCCCTATATGGGTTCCAAGTAATACCCCCAACAAAATCAAAACTCCAAGGCAGGCTTTTTCCTCAAAGTTTGAATTTATTAGAGATGTCATATTGGCACATTTGGGAAAACTCGAATCTGAAAACTCCAGGTTTCCCCCACCCATAGTAAAGTCAAAGTTCCTTCCCCTGCATCCACATGGGCATCACATGGTTGACTCCCAGGTCTGATAGGTCTGATAGTCATGCCTCCCCAGGTGCAGACTGAACGTCCTTGACTCCCAAGGAAAAAAATGTTATAACTATACACCCCATGCTGTCTCCAACCCCCTCCTGTTCCCACAGCTTGCCCATCCACCACTGTGGCAGCCCTGAAAATTCCAAGTTAAAGATGGCTCTGATGTGGCCCGCCAGTTGCCAGTGGAACTGGCGGCAGACTCGGACAATGAGGAGGTTAGGGAGGAACTTGGACTATTGCCTTGACTTTTTGGTGGGTGAATGCAATTAATTCACATGAGGTAAATAAAGAGGGGGATTTCGTGACAAGGAGTCNCAATTATTAATATTCAAAGATGAAGAAAAGAGTTCTTCCCCTACCACTTACAATCTCTTCTCTGCTGATAACTCATGTCAATTTCTTATTATAGCTGTGAGATGTAAGACCCAAATAGTTTAATCCTCACAATACAGAGACAAGTCTGGTTTACAATTGAAAGGTTTATTGAAGAAAAATGAAAAAGTGGTTGCAAGCGTGGCCTCCTAGTCTCTTCCCAAGTTGGACTGAAAACAAGGAGAGCAAAAAACAATACTCAAGCTCTACATTTTATACTTTCTACACAATGCATGCCATGCCTAATAAGCCCTCCCCTTCTCCTAAGTCAGTGATGGCTAACCTTTTTCTAAAGGTGTGCTAAAACTGTGTGTGCGCACGTGCTATCGCGCTTGTGCATGTGCTCACCCATCTACACATGGGCGAGCGACCCGCCTCACACATGTGCAAGCAACCCCCGCATGTGGGATTTTCACCCTCCCCAGGCTTCGGAGGCTTTTCTGAAGCCTGGGGAGAGCGAAAAATGGCACAACAGCTCAACCGGAAGTTCAGGAAGCCTCCAGAGCCTGGGGAGGGTGAAAAACGGCCCAACCGGAAGTTCATTTCCAAACTTCAAGTTTGCCTGTTGGGCCGTTTTTTGCCCTTCTCGGGCTCCAGGAAAGTCTCCAGAGCCTAGGGAGGCCGAAAAACAGGGCCGATGGGCCAACCGGAAGTTCAGGGGAAAAAATCAGCTGAGGACTGCCAAATATGGCTCTGCGTGCCACCTGTGGCACAAGTGCCATAGGTTCACCATCATGGTCCTAAGTCATTCTTTAAGTCATTTTACACTATAAAAGGTCAGCATGACCCTTCCTGCAGAATCCCAGTTATCTTTGTTTCCTTGTGGCTTCGCCCTAGGCGGCAGATGTTCCTATCTCACCAAATGGTGGCCTTGTCTCATTTCTGTTTTCAAAGGAAGTTAGTTTTAGCAAGTCATCATGTACTGTTTTACTGAGTACATTTGGTGGTTAATTTGCAACAGGAAGAACTTTATAGCTTATTGATACATTTAACACTTTTATAAAAGAGTAACTTATTACTTATTTCCTTCAAATCCACCCTTTTTCTTTTCTACCTGAATTACTTTTATACTTGCAACATTTCATAACTTCCTATTTTCTCTCTTGCCTCATGCGGAAGCAAGTTTTTTTTCATATTCCTAATTTTCTGTCCCTAGCCTCTGCCTCCCTACTTTCATTATTAACATGGTTTCCTTTTTCCCACTTTTTTTATATAAAGTTTTTTTNAATATGCTGACTCTCTGTAAACCGCTTAGAGAGGCCTGAAAGGCCTATGAAGCGGTATATAAGTCTACTGCTATTGCTATTGCTATTGCTGTTTCTTACAGAACAGACTCCAGGACTGACACCTCCCTCGTGGGGCATGGCAGGGCATCCTTCCCCTCTTTATCGATGCAATTTGGGGGTCACAGGTGGGGAGGGGTGGGGAGGGGAAGGCTATTCCCAACTCCCGTACGCTTTCCCTCTGTTCTCCCTGCTCTTCCTCCTTCCCTCGTGCCGGCCACTCTGTTGCCCATTTCTCCATTGCAGTGCACCGCCCAGGATCCACTTTGACAGCGAGCGGGGGGGGGGGGGGTAATTTGCCTGGCCAAACTAATCCTGCAGTCTCCCCTACACTGGACCTAGCTTCGATTGTGCTGCCAACTAAATTCCTCACCCCTCTCACTTTTGCCCACAGACTGACCAGCACCCCCTGCATGCAGCTCCACAGGGAGCTGGGGGAATCCCTCCACTTCCCCCCAATTCTTCACCTTCCCATTAGAGCTGTCAGGGGCATCATCTCCTTGTCTCTCTAGTAACCCCCCATTCCTCACTTCCTTAGGAACATCGCCTCTTAAAGGAGCCATGTCCAGAAGGTTGGAACAGCCGTGAGACAAACGTGCAGACAAGCTCCCTTGGAAACATACTTTCAAACTATAGTCCACCCCACAAACAGTCTGAGGGACTGTGAATAGGCCCCATTTAAAAAGTTTGAGGACCCTTGAAATAAAGTAATGCCGGTTCCTTCTGTTGGTAGTTGAAAAAGCTACAGCCCAGGAAAAAACCCTTCAGGGATCCCTCCCTGGACATGCAGTCAGTTGGCCATCATTTCCGAAGAGAAGGCGTGGGAGGAGTAACCAATGGGTATTAACCCAGCCCTCTTGCCTATAGGAGACTGAGGTAATCTTTTGAGACCACACCTACGGTCCTCCTCTGACTTCCCCAGATTAACCTCAGTCTCCAGCCTGAACGGAGAGTTACTCTGACTCTCCCTTCTCTTCGTAGACTTAGGAGTTTTCTTTTCAGCAAAGTTCTTCATCAACAAAGGATTACCTATAGAAATCGTCTGCTCGTCTCACCACTCTTCTGCTGTGCTCCGCGCCGCTGATTCAAGCTCCGTGCTTGCCAGCGCGTGCGCACACGCCCCGTGCAACCGGCCAGTCGCATTAGAGGGGTAGAAGCCCCAAAAATTGCAGGGGCAATAGGAGCAGCCGCGCGGCATCCGGAAGAGCCCAGGAGGACCCGCGAGGACCAAGGAGCCATCAAGGATCGTTCTGGTGTTCCCCAGCTGCAAGAAGAGGTCTGGACTGCAATCGGCAGTCGCCATCTTGCCGTCGCCATTTTGGGAGCACGTGGGTGAGCACGTGATCAGCGTTCTCCTACGGACGCCGAAAGTGCTCACAAGGCACCAGGAAGCTGGTAGAGGCTTCCTTTAAGATCTACCCCACTGGTGATCTGGGGGGTACTCCAAGCCGGTGCCTGCTGGCAGCTCAGGCCGCAGTCCAGCGGCAGAAGAACGAGGAGGCAGATCCAAGCCCCAGGAGTTCGAATCTGAAGCCTCTGCTGGCTGCAGAAGGAGGTGGTGGTCAGCATCGTAACTGTGAGTAATGGCGGAGGCGACTAGAAGCAGGGATGCCAGGCCCAGAGCCCCAGGGGGTGCGGACCCGGACGAGGGGACCTCCAGGGGCGTTTCCCCGGCTCCCAGGGGGAGATCCCCAGTGAGGAGGGACAAGGCCAGGGCCCCCAAAAAGGCAGCCCCCAGGAAGGAGGCCAGAACGACCAGGGCCTCAGCCAGGGACTTCAGGGTGACCATCAGCCCTTCCCCCTCCAGATCATGATCCCCTCGCAGGCCTCCAGCCCGGGTTGAGGCCCGGGCAGCATCTCCTGCTTCACCAGGGGGCTCCCATAGAGGGCACAGCTCCCTATCGCACCCCCTTTCACCTGCCCCCCCAGGTGAGTCGAGAGCGGACCCCTTTGGGCGCAGGGCTCCCAGTCCTACCAGGCCTCGATTGGCTCCTCTATCCCCTGACCCCAGGGAATGCCCCCAGCCTCCAGAGCTCCAGCCTGCCCTGCCTGATCTCACCAACAGCTTCCAGGACATGCTAGCTAGGGCTTTGGCCCAGGTAATGGCCTCTAGTTTAAGCCAGCAGCCCCAGAGCTCCAGAATCAGGGCCCCACAGGAGCCTCCCAGGGGACAGCAAGAACGCCCCAGCACTTCAGCTGCCAGAGAAGCCAGGTCTCCCTCCCCTTCCACGGCTAGCGAGGCTTCCGACCTGGAGGAGGGAGAATTGAAGGATGTGGGGTTCTTAGAGGATGAGGATCCCCAGGTAGAGGATGATTCCACCATAGCGGGCCTCTTTCCCCCGTCCTTATTCAGCTCCTTGCTTCGCAAGGCATCGGCCACAGCAGATCTGGACACCCCACCGGATCCTAAGCCTGTAGCTGAAACATCTGGCACCGGGAAGAGTAAAAAGAAGAAGGGGCCTTTCCATAGATGCCCCGTGGCTAAGGAGGAGATTCCCACGCCAGAAATGTTCATGGAGGTGCTTAAGTCGCAGTGGGTAAAGCCAGGGTCGTTCCCCACTCCAGGGGGAAATGAGAGAAAATTTTACAATCTTAATCAGACCTTTGCCCAAGCTCTCCAGGTACCTGAGGTGGACAATCCGGTGGCCACCCTAGCATCAGCTTCAACGATTATCGCAGGAGACACTGCCAACTGCCTCAAGGCTGAGGACAAGAAGGCAGACATCATCCTGCGCCAGACGTTCCAGGCCATCACCTGGGTCATCAGGGCGGCCGCCTCGGCTTCTTTCTTTAACAGGTCCACGGTGCTGTGGTTGGAGCAGCTGAGGGACAGGACTCCGGCCTCAGAGGTTTGCCTGCTGCAGGACATATCCAAGATGCTGGCCGCAACGCAGTTCTCAGCGGACGCCACTCTGGACGCGGTAAAGTATGCGTCCCGGGCTATGTCTTCCTCGTTTGCTTCTAGGCGCCTGCTCTGGTTGCGCCACTGGCAGGCAGAAAGCTGGATGAAGTGGCACCTAACAGGGTCAGACTACAGCGGGGAGAAGCTGTTTGGGACGGTGCTGGATCCTATCCTCGTAGAGGATAAGAACAAGCGGAAGGTCCTCCCGACAACAACCAGGCGCTCGGACTTCCGTCATATGCCATACCCCAGGAGGACACCGTACAGACCACCCGATGGGGAGAACCGGAACCAGAGGTACCAGAACCCCAGGTTCCACAGGCAGGGGGACAAACAATTCCAGAGGGACAGGTTCAGGGGCCAGCAGCAGGGCAAGCGGCCCTTTCGAGGAGGAGGTGGTCGCCCCTTCCACAGGTTCAAGTGATCCGACCCTGGATCACCCCATCGGCGGTCACCTCTCCCTGTTCGCAGATGCCTGGGAACGTATCACCTCGGATGAGTGGGTGCTCCAGACTGTAAGGCTCGGGCTACACCTGGAGTTTCGCTCCCTCCCCCCCAGTAGGTTCCGCACCTTCGCCTCCTCCACAGACCCGACCAAGCGGGCCCTTAAGGCCAAGGCCATTAAACATCTACTAGACATCAGGGCCATTGAAAGAGTCCCAGAGGGGGAGGAGGGCTCCGGGTTCTATTCGAACCTCTTCTTAGTTCCCAAGAACTCAGGGGGATGGAGAGCCATTCTGGATCTTAAACTCCTGAATTCCAGGGTGGTATACCGCAAATTTAAGATGTCCTCCCTGAAATCCATCCTGGAGGGCATCCGGCCGGGTGATTTCCTAGCCTCTATCGACCTCACAGAGGCATACCTACACATCAGGATCGCCCCGGAACACCGTA